AATAAACTTAGCTACTAAGTCCCATGATCCCTTAAGTACCGAAACCCCAAAACGCTAACCCTAAACCCTAAACCCTGAACCCTAAAACCCTAAAACCCTGAAGTGGCAGCCCCAAGACTATTATCCGGAAGCTCTAAAACCGGCGCACCTTCCGACACCCCCAAGCCCCAGGCCTGTGCCCACGCTGGAAGACACGTCGGGCTTGTGGAAGGCGACACCTCGAGTCCGACTGAGGATTTAGCTGTGACCCAGGAATCAAGCTTTAGGGTTTACAAAGTTGAGTTTAGGGTTTAAGGTTTAGGGTTTGGGAAGTTGGGTTTAGGGTTCAGGGTTTGTAGCAGAATGCATCGGGTAGAGAATCAGGGCCTGATCGTCGAGGGCTCCGGGCTGGTACTTGGAGGTTCATGGGACCTAGCACGTAAGGTTAGAAGTACCTCGCGAAATGGGTATAGAAGTAAGCACACGAAAAGCTACCGTAGTTTCTAAAGCCTATGAACCCATTAGTAGCAGGGATATAATATATAATTTGAAATATGTTAGGGCCTTGGGTTTCGGGCTGTGGGGTGGTAGAGCCCAGTGATGTCCAAACAAACCTAGCGCGCGTCCTAAACACTACACGATACATGGTCTCACAAAGCCCTACTTGGAGGATCATGGGACTTAGTAAGTAAAGTTATAAGTCCCTTAATTGGGGTTATAAGTAAATATAAGTACGGTTCCCTTCATTATAACCCTACTTACTAAGTCCCATGATCCTGTAAGTAGACCCTAAACCCTAAACCCTAAACCCTAGACCCTTACTAAGTCCCATGATCCTGTAAGTAGTGCATTTCCACACAATTGAGCCTAAAGCCAAACCTTCTGAAAGCCTGGAGTTTCCGTCAGAACCTGAACAAATCTCCGAGAAATAGTCCGTTGAATTGACCATAAGGGTTTAGGGCTTAGGGCTTATAAGGTCTAGGGTTTAGGGTTTAGGGTTTAGCGTTTAAGGTTTAGGGCTTAGGGTTAAAATCGAGACAGAAGGAGGCAAAACAGTTATTCAAACCTCCGTCCATTGCAACACTAAGCACAACCCCACAACTGTAGACCCTAACACAGAAGTTTGGATTTAGGCCTGCCAGTAGGCCCAGACTACCCAGCACCCATAACAATAAGGGCTCTGCGACAGGCTACAGCCAAGCCGCTAGAATCAAAACGTACTGAGCAGTCGAAACCCTCCACAAACCCTAGACCCTAAACCCCTACACCCTAAACCCTAAGCCGTGAGCGGAATCCGAGAATCCCAACCCCCTGAGCACCTGATAGAACCTTTGAGCTCTCAGCCCCCTAACCCCTGAAACCGTTGAAAGCATTGAGCCAAAGAAACCCAACCAGCCTTCCTTCCCTAAACCCTAAACCCTAGTATACCCGAGTTCATGTTGAATCTATATGAGCGATGATCTAAATTAACATATCCCCGAATTGGGCTTCTTCAGGGCATATTATGCCCTAAACCCAGAACCCTAAACCCTAAACCCCATTTGGTGTTGCTGGGCTGCTACAGGGTCCCCACTCCCCCAAACCTAAACCCTGAACCCTCAAAACGATGTAACCCTCCAAACCCTAAGCCCCAAACCTGAACCCTAAATCCTAAATTTTTGAACCCGGAACTCTGAACCCTAAACTCTTTAAACCCTGAACCCTAAACCTCAAATCCCAAGCTCTGACCCCTAAGACCCTTACCTAAACTCTGAACCCTAAACCTTACTACCTATCTCTTGTATGGAATCTCTCCAGTACGCGTCCCACTTGTCTTCCGCTGTCTTGAAACAATAATAGGTACACATGACGTTCTTCGTCCACGTGGTACCTTTGCTGCAACATCAGCTCGAAGACTTGCCTCCAAACATCATCGCACGCGTGTGGCGGCAGGAAGCGTGTGCTGCGGAAGATCGCCGTCAAGTCATCTTCAAGGGACACTAGATGGGGCTTTAAGGACTACAAGCTTCAGGGACGAAAGTTTAGGGGTTAGGGACGAAGGTATAGGGTTTAGGGGACAAGGTTTAAGGCATTAGGACTGTAGGGCTTATGGACTAAGGACCCTAAACCATAAACCCTAGACCCTAAACTCTAAACCCTAAACCCCTAAACCCTAAACCCTCAACCCTAAACCCTCAACCCGCACTCCTAAACCCTCAACCCGCGACCCTAAACCCCTAACCCGCACTCCTAAACCCTCAACCCGCGACCCTAAACCCCTAAGGTTTTCGGTGCCGCCTGCGAGTGCAAGCACGGCCATGCCGACGCTCACGCCTCGGACGGGATGCTGCAGGGCTTACACGTCGAAATCACTTAGGGTTTAGTGTTTAGGGTTTAGGGTTTATAGGGTCTAGGGTTGAGGGTTTATAGGGTCGAGGGTTTAGGGTATAGGGTCTAGGGTTTATAGGGTCTAGGGTTTAGGGTTTAGGGTTTATAAGGTCTAGGGTTTAGGGTTTAGGGTTTACCCATAGGCCCCATAGTAGTTCCGTTTTGTGGAAGGTGTATTTAGGATCCGATTAAGTAATCCCAAAAAGGAACTACTATGGCCTATGGGTACCCAAAACCCCCCGGGAAGGATCTAAAAAGTAGATCCCCGAATTTGGGACCCTAGCTCCAAAGGGCACTTTAGGATTAGGGTTTAGGGTTTAGGGTTTAGGGTTTAGATCTACTTTTTGGATCCTCCCGGGGGTCTGGGTATAGGGCTTATCAGGTTTATAGGGGCTTAGGGTTTGGGGTTCATGGTTGCTTAGGGTTTAGGGATTCTTTACAGGGTTTATAGGGTGGGCGTGAGGTTTCGACACAAGCAAGCGCCAACTGAAGCAATAACGGGGCTTTGCGGGGTTTTGCGTTTGGGAAAGTACCCATAGGCCCCATAGTAGTTCCTTTTCGGGATTACCTAATAAGATTCTAACTATGAACCCCAAAAAGGAACTACTATGGGGTTTATGGGTAAGCCATGTGAGAGCTTTATGGGGTTTCAGATTCCGGATTTGTAGGCTTAGGGTGCTCAGGCTGCCATAGGGTTGTTTAGGGTTGTCTTGTCTAGTGTCTAACCCACCCCCTGCGTGAATGGGGATTATAGATTGAATGACATAGGGGCCTTTATAGTTAAAATAGGTCATGGGGCGTCTTCTTGTACTCGAGTGTAGCAAGGCGACCGCCACCAGAAAATTGCATTGTTGGCTGTTGCTGGGTAACTATACTTGTAGCTACTTACACCCCCAATCCAAGTACTTGTGCCCCCAAATCAAAGTACCCACCCCAACTAAGGTACCTATAACCTTACTTACTAAGTCCCTTGTAATCCTCAAACTAAGGGTGTAACTAGGGGTCCTGAAGTCCCCTCAACTATGGCGGAGTTCTGGCGTGCTCTTGGGTGCGGATAGTGCAGATTTAGGGTTTCGGGTTCTGGGTTTAGGGTTTAGGGTTTAGGGTTTAGGGTTTAGGGCTTAGGGCTTAGGGCTTAGGGTTAGGGTTTAGGGTTTAGGGTTTAGGGTTGAAGGTTTTGTCCATGAGCCACGTGGCCCTGGTCAGTGGTGCGTGCGAAGCAATATTGATTGCTAAGGTTGTGGGGTATTATCAGGGCCTTACTAATTAGAATACGGTTTTTGGGGTCCCTGGTACTATAAACTATCATAAGGAACCCCTACAATAGTATAGGCAATTATTAAGACCTCTACATTACTTGGGAGAGGGCCAGGCGAATGCAACGATCGCTTGCCGCACCGACTCAGCTCCTCAGGACCATGTTTGGCGACGGCTGGGATCGGACGACTGGTAGTAGTAGTGCCAGTCCCAGCCATAGCGATCCAGCATTTCTCGGTGCACATCTAGGCACTGGCAGAACTCATTGCTCTCGTTGAACCTGATAGTCTTTAGGCTGTAGGACCGTAGGGCGCTATGCCGCGGAGTATGCCAACGGCTGCTAGTCGGAAGAGCGAGGCACCATCCTCTGGGTACAACCCTAAACCCTAAACCCTAAACCCCAAACCCCAAACCCTAAACCCTAAACCCTAAACCCTAAACCCTAAACCCTAAACCCTAAACCCTAAACCGGGCAAAGTAGCTACAGATCGGCTCAATTGCCAGTGCCGGAGGAACCCTGGACCCTAAACCCCAAACCCTAATCCCTTCGAAAATTGGAACGAAGCTCCTGCTTTCCAGACCTAGACCCTCAACCCTAAACCCTAAACCCTAAACCCTAAACCACAAATTAAGGAGTTTGCCTTAAATCATGTTAGGGATCCTGCTATAACTTA